GGAGGGTGTGTTCCAACTATAGGGGGATCACACTCCTCAGCCTCCCCGGGAAAGTCTATGCCAGGGTACTGGAGAGGAGAATTCGACCGATAGTCGAACCTCGGATTCAGGAGGAACAATGTGGTTTTCGTCCTGGCTGTGGAACACTGGACCAGCTCTATACCTATTTCAGGGTGGTGGAGGGTTCATGGGAGTTTGCCCAACCAGTCCACATGTGTTTCGTGGATCTGGAGAAGGCATTCGACCGTGTCCCTCACAGCACCCTGTGGGGGGTGCTCCGGGAGTACGGGGTCCGGGGCCCTTTGCTAAGGGCCGTCCGGTCCCTGTACGACTGGAGCAGGAGCTTGGTTCGCATCGCCGGCAGTAAGTCAGAATTGTTTCCAGTGCATGTTGGACTCCGGCAGAGCTGCCCTTTGTCACCGGTTCTGTTCATTATTTTTGTGGACAGAATTTCTAGGTGCAGCCAGGGGCCGGAGGGAGTCCAGTTTGGAGACCACAGGATATTGTCTCTGCTTTTTGCAGATGACGTTGTCCTGTTGGCTCCATCAAACCAGGACCTCTAGTGTGCACTTGGGGCGGTTGGAAGCCGAGTGTGAAGCGGCTGGGATGAGAATCAGCACCTCCAAATCTGAGGCCATGGTTCTCAGTTGGAAAAGGGTTGCTTGTTCCCTATTATTGTCATCCTCCTCTTTGTTTGTGCTTCATGATTGTATCACGAAAACAGTATGTTTGGTTTTTCTTCTAGGTTATAATGATTTATCTTAAACCTTTTCGGTGTGGTAAGTTTGATGTGTTCCTAAGAAGACTTTTCTATGGACTGTTGTGATTGTGATTAATGTTTAATCAAGAGGAGGGATTGTGGTGGCAATTTTTATAATAGCACCCCTTAAGTTCTTTAGCTGTGGCTTTCATGTCATTGTATGCAGTCATTTGTGTAGTTGTGACCCCAGACCATTTATTGCATGGTCGTCGTAAACCTTTGTATCCCTTGTGGTTGCCAAACTAGATGTGACTTGGGACCAAAGGGCTGGTATCCTGTTGAGAATTGTATCCTGTTTTCCTTAGCTGTTTGAGCATCTGTCTTCTTTGTTGTAGGCTGAATATAAGAAGGACTCACACACTCTGTCCATTGAGCTTCCCTATAACAGATTATATTAGACACTCTGTTCAGAGAAACCTCCTTCCTGCAGGAATAAATATGTAATAACTTTCAGAACTGATGTTAAGTATTTATTTTACACTCACTGAGCTTTAAAAGATAATTTTTCCACAACACTGAGCAGTACAGTGATGTAGTATCTCCATCTAATGTTGAACTGGAACTATAGCTATCTATATATCTGTGTGTCTTGTTGTACCCAGTACTTTTTACCATACGGACTCTGAGAGACGAGGCAGTCCAAGTAACTACAAAACAGTGCTGATTTATTCCATGAACACAGGTAAAAATTAACATTACACGCTCAGGCATCTTGCACCTCCAAACTGCACGCAGGCAGATGAAAGATGAAAGACCCCGAACCCAACAGGCCTGTACATTATATCTGGTTTGGGCTAACCCCATTCTACACAGGGATGTCAAACCGTGACGTCTCTGGTGCCAGCCGTGCAGCTGGCCATAGCAATAGTCAAAACATGAAGCAAATCAATGTGTGTGTGTGTGTGTGTGTTGATTAAGTGGTGTGTATCTAAAAACATTCTGACAGGACATTCAGTGACATGTCCTGACATTAGGCATAAGAAGATATTATGATTATGATTAAACACGTCATACAGTAATCAACTCTCTATCTAGTTATCTTTGCCCATAAACAACCTGGAGTAACTCATGTAAATGAGTAAGCATTTAACAGCCTGAGCTAGACATCCTGTCTACACTAAAAACATTTCTAATACAACAAGTACCTAACCAATATCTATCTGACTAAAAATATCTAACAGTGTGTTCGTGCACACACACTTTACTACCCCTATTTAAGAGACGAGTGACCTTTGCAATATGCTACTCCTCACTTAACTGAGCACACATATGTGTATATACCTCATGGTTTTGAAGTACTTTGTGTGTTGTCCAATAATTAACTAGTTGAGCTGATAAGGCAGAATGGAAGGATGATAAATAGTCAAACAGAGAACGAGAGAGAGAGAAACAAAATTGGCAATGAAAAAGGAAGGACATTGACTCAGCAGTTGCAGTTTGAGGCAGAAAAGAGGAACCTTGGACAACGTACATACGTGTGCTGCAAGTCTGAGGTTCTCATTTTGTTGTTTTTATTTCACCCGTGGTTAAATATACTCCATGGAAGACACACAGGTGGACAGGACCATAGAGCTGAATGACAGGACACGAATGCCAGTTTTGGGTCTGGGCACATGGAAGGTAGTCTCAACACTCATTCCTATATTTGTCTTATGCCGTAAACTATTTAGTTGTCATCAATTTGTTTCTTGCATACTGTTTATAAATAATGTTCCTAATAATGTTCTGCAAATATGTGCATTTTAATCAGCAGAGTATTAAGTGAATGAAGTTTGCCTAAAGAGGAAATTGAAAATGCTGGACTCTGGCAAATTATTCATGTAAATTATTATTCATGTACTCCTGTATTAAAGGAGTAGTTTGACATGAATCAGCTTGTTTTGCTCTTGTGAATTAAATGAAGAGATTGATGCCACTCTGATGCTTGTTTACTTAAGGTCCAAAACCATAATGTGACTCAGTGCAATCTACCCTGGTGTCTGGCATCTCCAGTTGTAGCAAGTAACTTCCTGTGACACCATAACCTTTTGATTTTACATTTCTGTTTCTGATCTAACTAAACAAACAAAATGATTTAGCTTTAGATTTGTTCATAGGCTACAGCTATACAAACATCTAACTCTTGACAGAAAGTGAATAAGTGTATTTCCCATAATGTAGAATGATTCCCTTAAGATTGACCGATTAGCCTCAAACCCTGACAAAACCTGAACCATGGCCATAACCCTCACCTTAGCCTTTTATACACAAACTTGATCAAATGAGAGAAAACTGCTGAGACACTTACTGTAGGCTGTAAGACAAGGCCATATAGATGCAAACACCTACACAGACCTTCTGTATATGACTTTTTTCTGGAACATATGAATGAGGGTACACACCTGTTGGTGTGTTTATGCCTTTGGATGATGATCATGTGGTTCCTGTGCTGATATAAAACTGTTATAATATTATTTATTACTGTTACTGTTAGCTTATTACATATTGTGTGTGATTGGCTTAGTGCTGTGACAACAGTTTCACTGCAGAGCCTGGGGTAACAAAGTTCATCTTAATCCATTGTACCTTGAACTTGGTAACTCATCGCAATAGTCCAGCATTTTGGGAAACCTGTTTATTTACTTTCTTGGCAAGAGATAGATGAGAATAGCACTCATGTTAGTCTGTAAAATACAGTATGAAGCTAGCTTAGCTTAGCTTAGCATTAATAAGGAAATGACTATCTGGCTCTGTGCAAAGCTAGCAAAATGTACCTTACAGTAACTATAAAGTGTTAAGTTATATCTCATTAGTTTGATCAGTTCAAAATCAAAAAAAAAAAAAAAAAAAAGACCATTTGTAGTTTTAAAGGTGGTTTTGTGGTCTCTTCCAGGCAACTTCATGGTGTAACAGACTCCTTGGGTCAGAGCCAGGCTACCTCTATTTTTATGCTTTGCCAGGCTAAGCAGCTGTTGGCTGGAGCTGTGATAAGTGTTTAAACGTGCTTTACTTGTTGCAGTCCTCCCATCTGGTCCACACCTCAGTCCAGGGTGCGGTAGAAACCGCCATTGCTGCTGGCTACCGACACATTGACACAGCCTACAGCTACAACAATGAGGTGGATATAGGCAAAGCTCTGCGCTCCAAGATGCAGCAGGGCATCATCAGGCGCCAGGACATGTTCATTGTCAGTAAGGTGAGCGCCAAAGAGAAAAGGTGTTATAGCTGCTCTAACATATGGAAGGGAAGTTACACTTTATTTAACTGACTTAGACTGTTTGCTCATTTTGAACTGCACAGAGTAGGCTACACCTATGCCACACCTGAATGCCACCAAGTGTGTTTTTTTAAATAATACTCTCTGATTTAAATACCAAAACCCTTTTTATTTATTCAAATATAGTAACAATATTTTATGCATCATTAAGATTTTGAAAGTCTTCTTATGCTTAATATTCTGCCTCATATATGGTATTTTATTTTGTTTGTCCTCCTGCTCTGTATATTTTCTTTCTAGCTGTGGTGTACCCATCATGCTTCAGAGGACATCCCTGTGTGCCTCAACAAGTCTCTGAGCGATCTCCAGCTGGACTACCTGGATCTTTACCTTGTGCATTTCCCTGTTGGCCTACAGGTTGAGATTAACATCCAAAATAGCATGGAACTTTTTAAAATAATAAACATGTTGTTGAATATATGTTTTATGTTAAAGCTGCTGGAAATGGAAAGAAGCTAAAACTGCATGACGCATTCATGTTAATTCTAAGTTTGTCACTTCTCTGGATCTGTGTGTTTTCTAAATTTGCTAAGCAGTTTTAGGCTATCTGTTGAGAAAAGGAAACTTTTTTATTTTTGCCTACAAGCATTTTAGTGTTACCTTAAATTTCTCCCTAGAAAATGGGCAATGAGCTTTTCCCGAAGAAAGATGGAAAGATACTGACCTCTGACATTGACTATGTAGATGTATGGAGGGTAAGAACACATATACTGTCTCTGTTTCCATTTGTACTGGTTTGTGTTCTTCTAATTTTTACTTACTTAAGATCTGTTCTTCCACCACAGTGCAACTTTTCTGTCAGTTTAAAACAAGTAACAATTTAAAATAATGAACATCAAAACTCTAAATATGCACTAAAATAATATAACAACAGCAAAAGCGAACTGAAATGACACAAATGTACACATTAAAATATAAAAGGTTTCCTAAATTTACCAATTTTTTGTCTCAAAGTAATTTTGATTTTCTGTGGTTTTACTTAAAGCATGCTTCATCCTCCTGGGATGAGAAGAAGATTTGGAATGTGTTTACTGTCACTGTCTGTTGTGTTGTGTTGTGTTTGCAGGGAATGGAAACACTGCAAGCTTCAGGGAAAGTGAAGTGCATTGGTGTGTCCAACTTTAACATCCTGCAGCTAGAGAGACTTCTTGCTCTATGCAGGGTGCCCCCTGCTGTCAACCAGGTGCTGTATGTGTAGGTCCTTGATGGACATGAGCAGGACAAACTCTGTTCATTCAGATTAGTCTTATTTCTTTGTACCTTCACACTTTCCACTGCATGGAAGTTGGTCTTAGAATGTATTCCTATGCAAGGTTGAAAAAACCTTAATCTGTGACAATGGCTTTCCCTTATATTACATTCTCCCGGTGGAAAAGGGGTGATATTTCTACACAGTATCAGACAGTGACATTGTATAACAATACCAGACAGTGGGTTACACAGTAATGTGATATAGACAACACCGTACAGCAGGGGTTCTCAGGCTTAATATTCAAAGGTCCGGATCTGATTTTTATTCAAGGTCAAAGGTCCACAGCAATTGGTAAGAAGTAACTGACTTTTATTGAACTTGCATATAACTAACAAGTAACGTACGTTCACCAGCCAGTTTATTAGGTACACTTGTACAACTGTAGGAAATTCAGTGCAACACTTCCGCCTTAACATCTGTGTTTATGAAGCTCAACATGTTTCAGTTTTTGGTGAAATTGTCATAAATATTTAAATCCAATTATATGTTTATTATTGAGGTCATAGTTAAAGGTGGTGTCATACTGGACTATAAGAGTCAAACAGTATTTGCTTGTCTTAAGGCATATTGACCCCTGATGGAAATTCACAAGCTATTCATTGACTGTCTTTTGATCTCTATACAAAAGAGGTGTTTGTCAGCGACTAAGATATTTGTATCTGAATGCATGGTTAGTTTGTTTTCATTTTCTTTTACCTTCTAGTGAAACACATACATATACGTACGTATAGTACATGTAATGTTTCATAGGTTATGCTTTTATAATCACAGTTTATTGGGGAGAACGTCCTGGAACAAGCTCAGCTACTGACATTAAATCCAAGTTCAGAAACTTACAAATTCTGTCTAGATCAACATCTTTAGGTGCTGACCTTTTGTTGGGTTTTCTATTACCTGTAGGTGGAGCTACATCCCTACCTGGTGCAGACAGAGTTGACAGAGTTCTGTAAATCCAAAAACATCGCCCTGACTGCTTATAGCCCTTTTGGCTCACCGGCAAGACCCCCAGAGCTGTAAGACACACAGCATCACTCATACATTCCATCGACTCAGACTGATTCAAGTGAATCAAGCACCTGGGTGCTTCTGCTGGTATCAGTTCAATTCAGTTTTATTTGAGTAGTGCCAGGCCACAACAACAATCATCTCAGAGCACCTAACAGAGAAAAGTACAAACCACGTTTCCAGAAAAGTTGACATTTTTCAAAACACAATAAAAATTAAAATCTGTGATTTGTTAATTTTGCTTGAACCTTTATTTAACTAACAAAAGTATAAAGAAAAGTGTGTTCTGTGCTTATGTTGCCATCCACCCATCTTCATCCACTTCATCTGGGACCGGGTCGCGGCGGCAGTAGTCCGAGCAGAGCCTCCCAGACTTCCCTCTCCCCACACACCTCCTCTAGCTCCTCAGGAGGAACCCCAAGGCGTTCCCAGGCCAGCCGGGAGACATAGTCTCTCCAATGTGTCCTGGGTCTACCCCGAGGCCTTCTCCCGGAGGGATATGCCCGGAATACCTCCTCATGGAGGCATCCAGGGGGCATCCTAAACAGGTGCCCGAGCCACCTCAACTGGTTCTGCTCAATGTAGAGGAGCAGTGGCTCTACTCTGAGGTCCTCACGTGTGACTGAGCTCCGCACCCTATCCCTAAGGGTGCACCCAGCCACTCTCCGGAGGAAACTCATTTCTACCACTTGTATCCGCGATCTCATTCTTTCGGTCATGATCCAAAGTTCATTGCCATAAGTGAGGGTAGGAATGTAGATCGACTGGTAAATTGAGAGCTTCGCCTTATGACTCAGCTCCTTCTTCACCACAACGAACCGGTACAGAGACCGCATTACTGCAGATGCTGCACCGATCCATCTGTCAACCTGCCGCTCCATTATTCCCTCATTCGTGAACAAGACCCCGAGATATTTAAACTCCTCCAATTGAGGGAGCAACTCGCTCCCAACCCGAAGAGAGAAATCAATTTTTTTCCGACTGCGAACCATGGACTCAGATTTGGAGGTGCTAATTCTCATCCCCGCCACTTCACACTCAGCTGCAAACCTCTCTAGTGCACACTGTAGGTCTTGAACTGATGAAGCCAACAGAACTACATCATCTGCAAAGAGCACAGATGACATTCTGCAGCCACCAAAACAGATGCCCTCCGTTACCTGGCTGTGCCTAGAAATTCTGTCCATAAAAATAATGACCAGAATCGGTGACAAAGGGCAGCCTTGGCGTAGTCCAACATGCACTGGAAACAGGTCTGACTTACTGCCGGAAATGCAAACCAAGCTCCTACTCCGGTCATACAGGGGAACAGACAGCGTGTAACAACAAGCCCCGCACCCCATAGTCCCGAAGTACCTCCCACAGGATGCCATGAGGGACATGGTTGAATGCCTTTTCCAGATCCACAAAACACATGTAGACTGGTTGGGCGAACTCCCGTGAACCCTCCAACACCCTAGTGAGGGTGTAGAGCTGGTCCAGTGTTCCACAGCTGGGGCGAAAACTGCACTGTTCCTCCTGAATCTGAGGTTCAACTATTGGCCGGATTCTCCTCTCCAGTACCCTGGCATAGACTGTGATCCCCCTGTAGTTGGAACACACTTTCTGGTACCGATTCTTAAAAAGGGGGACCACCACCCTGGTCTGGCAGTCCAGAGGCACTGTCCTTGAGCTACACGCAATGCTGCAGAGGCTTCAGCCAAGACAGCCCCACAACATCTATAGACTTGAGAAACTCGGGGTGGACCTCATTCACACCCAGAGCCTTGCCACCGAGGAGTTTCTTAACTACCTCAGCAACTTCAGTCAGGGTAAAGGACAAGTCCCCTTCCAAGTCCCCAGCCCTGGCTTCTTTTATGGAAGGTGTGTCGGGGGGATTGAGGAGATCTTGGGTTGAGGTCTTGGGATCACCACCTCCACTGTAAACAGTGTTGGCAGAACACTGTTTCCCTCTCCTGAGCCACTGGATAGTTCTCCAGAATCTCTTTGAAGCCAACCAAAAGTCTTCCTCCATGGCCTCACCGAACTCCTCCCAGGCTCGAGTTTTTGCCATGGTGACTGCCAGGGCTACATCCCATGATCAGTTGACAGCTCAGCCCCTCTCTTCACCCGAGTGTCCAAAACATATGACCGAAGATCAGAGGAAACGACTACAAAGTCGACCTCCGACCTAGGATGTCCTGGTGCCATGTGGACTGATGGACACCCCTATATTTGAACATTGTGTTCATTATGGATAAACCATGACTAGCACAAAAATCCAATAACTACTCACCACTCGGGTTCAAATCAGGGAGGCCATTCCTCCCAATCACGCCCCTCCAGGTATCACTGCCGTTGCCCACAGGGGCGTTAAAGTCCCCCAGTAGAATGACAGAGTCCCCCGTGGGAGCACTATCTAACATGCTCCCCAGGGACCCTAAAAAGGCTGGGAACTCTGTACTGCCATTAGATGTGTAAGCACAAATGACAGTGAGAGACCATTCCCCGACCTGAAAGCGCAGGGAAATGACCCTCTCATCCACCGGGGTGAACTCTAGGGCTGTTGCTAACGATTATTTTTCTGTCGAATAATCTAACGATCATTTTTTCGATTAGTCGAATAATCGTTATATATATATA